TGCAAGAGTTTATGAGCTGTAAGAGGAGGGTTTGAGTTATACCTGAGTGTCTTAACTTCCTAATGTAAAATGTCAGGCAGAATATTTTACTGGAGATTGCTAAGACATGGGAAGACCAGGAGAGATCAGAAGAGAGAATAAGTCCAAGATACTTAATTTCTGATTTGATTCCTAAATCATTGTCGTCAATTTTACAATTGTCATGAGAATCGATGACTTCTTTTAGCTTTCCTCTACATCTTAAGCTGAAATTAACAGTTTGACATTTAGAAGGATTCAGTTTAAGACCGTTAGACTCAGACCATTTGCTGACTCCCGATAGAAAGCTATTTATTTTAGTACAATCTAGCTGGGAGCTAACAGCCATTGAAACTGTTAAATCATCAGCGTACTTCACAAAGTTTATTTCATCAGAGTGAGGCAAGTCATGCAAGAAGAAAGAAAAAAGAAAAGGAGAAGGAACAGTACCTTGAGGGACACCGGCTTCAGTAAGCAATGAAGTGGAAGACTTCCCTTTATATACGGTGTACTGCATTCTATCTGAGAGATAGGAATGTAACCAGTTAACAGCCCAACATTCTGTTTGACTAGCAGCGAGTTTATTTAATAATGTCGGAAACATGCGGCATATAAAATAGAAATAAAAATGATAACCGCGAAGGTAACGATAATAATACGAGTGAAAAATTCCGTGGGCTTGTTTCACACATTATTGTCGTTATATGCGTTATAGAAATCCTAGCGTGTCCTAACAACCTAATTTCTAGATTGCTTTGATGCTATGCAAAAGGTTATCTGACGAGACGTAATTCAAAAGTCCTGACGGTAAGACCATTCTGTAATCATCTATACACCCCCGACAAACCAAATGGACACTTTTCCACAAACTGTATGCACGGGAGCTATTGCAGTCGAATAGAAATATTTTCTAAAATTGAATCAGCCAGATGTCTAGAAACCCTCTAGGAACTTAACGCCAATTTTTAAACATCTTTTCAGTTGAAAATAAGCCAAAACACCCAGGTTTGGTGAAGAAATACAGATGTACAGCAATGGAGATGGTTGGCATCCTAGATGGCCCTGGGGAGTTCAGGGGCTGTCTCTGTTTATTGACTGCCTCGACCCACTCACATTATGTCAATTAACACGCCACGTCTGTTAGCTGTCAAGTTCAGCTCCCAAGACCAGTTGACTACCGCTCTCCATAGATGGTACGAGACCAAGGACAAGGTCAGCAAACACATTCGCTGCTGCGAGAGCCGGCCTCGCACCCAAAGGAGAGAACAAAGCGTTGAAAAAAATCCTCAACCCCTAGTCACACTACAGCGGTGCAGCACGGACGATGATAGCCAGTGTCATCCGAGTGCTCCGACTGAACTAGAAGAAAAAAACGCCAACAGGCCGGTTCCTGGGGAATCGGCCAACTAGTTCGTAGGATAACTCCTCAACCGATAGCCAATATCAAGTCAACTACCCCCCAATACGGGGAAGTGGTGAGACTGACTACCAGTTGCCTGTACAGTAATGTGAGAGGGCTAAGAGGCAAAATAGCTGAACTTAGACACCTACAATCACAACTGAACTCCAAAATCATAATACTGACGGAAACCTGGCTAACCCCTACGGTGGCAGACAGCGAAGTCAGTATAAATGATATGGTCCTAGTCAGGCGAGATAGGGACCTGAAAGAAGGAGGTGGAGTCGCCATATACGTCGACAAACAGCTCAGATGTGTTCACGCGATGGACCCTCCCCTCACAGAGCTCCCTGACTCCATATGGTGCCACTTCACCGTTGGGTACTGCAAATATCTAGTGGGCAGCATTTATCGATCACCTTCATGTGGAGCAGACCACAACCAGGTACTGCTAAATACAATCTCAGCAACTCAAGACATGGGTTATGATCAAATTGTCATAGCTGGTGACTTCAATGCCCCATCTCTTAACTTGGTGTCGGGAAAAGCCCATGATAGATTTGATCGAAATCTGCTGCATACCATCAGGAAGGCTGGATTCACTGAAAATGTCAAGATGGATACTAGATGGGGCCCTGATGGGAAGTCTTCTAGACTGGATTACGTGCTCACTAGTGACCAGCTACTAGTGGAAAACGTTCAGATCACGACTCCCATAGGTAGTAGTGACCACGCGGTCATAGTATTCGACATAGTCCTCCGCGAGCGCTTACAGTGGGACAATACACAGCCCTATCTGTGTTATAACAAAGCCAACTACACCAAAATGCGAAGACTTCTGTCTGAAGCAAATTGGCCTAAAAAATGGACAGAGCTAACAGTAGAAGAACACTGGAGAGTGGTAAAGGAGATCATTCACCAGGCGGTCTCAGACACTGTTCCTTTAGTCACACCAAAAGCTAGGAAGCAACGATCATGGCTAAAAGGGGACACAACGCCTTCTGCAGGCGAAGCGAAAAGCCTGGTTTGCGTGGCGACGATCGAAGAGTCAACCCGAACATGAAGTGTACCTTGAACTCAGGAATCGATGTAACATACGAGTCCGGAGCGATAGAAGGACATTTCAGGGAAACCTCGCCAATAAGCTTCTCGTGAACCCCAAAAGCCTATACAGGTTTATGTCCGAAAGAAAACCGACCAACCAGGGAGCATGCAATCTAGTGGGTTCTGATGGGAAATCTCTTACTAGTCTTGAAATGGCAGAGACATTCAGCCTAGCCTTTCACAGGCAACTAAACAGTAACGAGGATATTACCCCCACAGAACATCCAGATTACATCGCGAAACCAACACGCGAAAACCTGCTGGGTACATTTCAAATTACCCCGGCTATGGTACTTGCAAAATTGGGAAGGTTGGCTTCGGGAAAGTCTTCAGGTTGTGATGACATCAGACCATCTGTCCTGAAGCAGTGTTCAGAAAGTCTCTGCCAACCCCTAAGTGATCTGTTCCAACACTCCCTTGATGTAGGGAAACTTCCATGTGAATGGAAACGAGCAATCCTATCCCCTATCTTCAAGGGTGGTGACCGGCAGAATGCGACCAGTTACAGACCAGTTGCTCTACTTCCAGTGATATCGAAGATATTGGAAAGTCTCATTGACGACCACATGAGAAAATACTTCGATGGGACTAACCTTCTTCACGAAGCACAGCACGGTTTCAGGAGGGGAAGATCCTGCGTGACGAATCTTCTACTAGCTTGGAACGATTGGACACTATCCTGGGACAAAAAGGTACCAGCCCACGTGATCTTTCTCGACTTTGCGAAAGCATTCGACACAGTTCACCATGGTCTGCTCCTTCACAAAATAAGCAAGGCGGGTGTTTCTGGAGCACTTCTCGCATGGCTGAAAGATTACTTAGGCGAGAGAGAATTCTGCACCAAAGTCAACCGCATCCGATCATCCTGGCACACCTCGGCATCAGGGGTTCCTCAGGGTTCTATCCTAGGGCCGTTGATGTTTTTGATTTTTATCAACGACCTGCCCTCCCAACTAAACTGCTCTGCGCTTCTTTACGCTGACGACGTAAAGATTTGGAGAGCAATAAACTCATCGGAAGACTCAGATAGATTGCAGGCTGACCTGCAAACTCTGGGAAATTGGGCTTTGGCTAACGGAATGCCTTTCAACCTAAAGAAGTGCAAAGTAGTGCAACTTCATTCCGGCAGGTCACAGAGTGTAAATTACACCCTTGGTGGCCAGAACTTGAGTTGTGTTCCATCAGAGCGAGATCTAGGTCTTATTCTAACAGAAAAGCTAGACACCAGTGGAAATTACTCGAGGGACGTCGCCAAAGCCTACGCAACTTTACACTTTATGCATAGGCAGCTGGGAGCTCTCACTCCCGAACTGTTCTTAAGGTTATATAAGGCATATGTGAGGCCACACCTTGAGGTGCATAATATCATTGCACCTCCGCTACTCAAAAGGGATGCTAACATTCTAGAAAGTGTCCAGAGACGAGCGACAAAATGGGTGATCGGCCTCCGCAACAAATCATATGAGGAAAGACTAAAGAAATTAGGTCTTTTCACACTTAGTTACCGTAGGCACAGGGGAGACCTCATCACCGTCTACCAAATCCTAAATGACCAGGCCCACCCAAATAAAAGCATCCTGCCATTAAGTGATTATAGGCTTCCACGAGGTAACCCGCTAAGGATAGCACACCAGAGACCAAAGACTCGAGTGCGATCACATTTCTTTTCGCTTCGTGTTTGCCGTCTCTGGAACGCTTTACCGGCGGCCGTGACTACAGCGCCATCTCTGGAGATTTTTAAGCGGAAGCTAGACAATCATGCAGAAATGCAAGGTTTGTGTCTCAATGGCTTATCCTCATAAAACTTAAAACCACACTGTCAATGGATAAGCGTACAAACTAAATCCCCACGACCTATTCTGCCTTCTCTCTCACTCTATCTTTTCCTTAGGTCACCTTTATTATTCCACTTATCTCAACCTATATTATCTACACTACAACCTATTATTATTATTACACTATTCTGCTTTTATGACTACACCGAATGACCAATGGGAGTTAGGTCAAACTCCATTCACGGCAGCGACACAGTCCTTCATTTAAACGCAGTTATTGTTTGCGTCGGTGGCACAGTGGTTACAACTCTCGCTGACCATGCAAATGGTCCGGAGTTCGACCAGCTGCCGATGCACACCTGATATCTATGGTCGGTTTGCAAAATTTGGGCTACCGATATCACATGCTGAAAATTCCATACTTCTACCAAAAAGTACTGTGTGGAATCAAGCTGTAATCAAAAATAAAATAAAATAAAAATACAGCAAACCACATCTTGACCAATCCCCTCACCACTCCTCTTGGAGTCTACCAGAGCTTAAGCAGTCGCGTGGCGGGACTTACTACGCAGAAGCTCACCGAAGATCTGAAACCTCTACCTCACAATCAAGAAGCGAGCTCAAAGAAATCACTGGTTTATACTAGCTCGTAATCAGGATATTGGATATTGAATAAGGTTTTGGCTCAAGTATTTGAATGCGTCAATTTATTGATTGGTACAATTTAGCGCCCAATAAGGTTGGTATCTGGAGTTGCTGTTGCTTATCATGCGAGAAGTGATTATGTAATGCCTCTACCTTCATTGACCAAGTAGCCATCCGATTTAAGAAGAAAATGCATCTCACAGAAGAGGACGAAAACAACATTCAAACTATAAATGAGTTTAAAGTGACATGGTTCACATTACTCTCAAGAGTAGATGCCGGTAAGTTTCTACAGTGAAATAATGCTACCTAAAATATAGCACCCACAGTGGATGAAATTGTATTAACATCTCTGAACCATGTTGCAAATCTGATAATGTGCAGGAAGGGAGGAAGTCCCTCAAAAAGTTTGGTTTTTGAAATGGCCCTTAGCTTATGTGTATTTGAAACCCTATTTCAGTGGAACTTTGTATTCACCGGGGCTGATTTGGAGGCCTACAAAGTAAGAGAGCTCCAGTTTTACGACTCACTAATTGGGAATAATGGGGAGCTCTATTTGTCCCATGAAGGCGTAAGTTCATATAACTTTTAAATAAGCTCTCCTAAAAGTTTCCTGCATTCTTTTGTTATAACCTTGCGTCAGACCTTAGCACAGATGATTAAAGTCTTTGTGTGCTCCTATCAGACTGTTCGCTGGTGCATATAATGCATATATTTGTTAGAGACTGCCTATTGCTCAACTACCCTCAACTTTTTCCTGACTATTTTGCATTCGAATCTTTTATTTTGTACACTACCTTCGTCAAAAAAGCATTGAATTTGCCTCATATGGAAGAATATGCAAATATGTATGTTTGTGTACACATTTTACACAGAGGAAATGCTCAGGGACTATTTTTTCCATTGGTTTTACTCATTTTTAGCTCCTAGACAATCATGACATAGTTTTCTGTGGACTGTATTACAGGTGCTTTCTTAAATAATCATCCGAAATTATATCTTTTGAGCATGAGTTCAGTGGCCTGAAACGACCTGTGTCATTTACATGAATATAACACTTCACCTAATACCTTATCTTGTGACCCTTAAGTATTTCATTTTGTCATCATAACAGGGACTGTAAATTAATTCTCATATGTTAAGGTCAGTATAATGGCATAAATGTTTGCAAAATGATGACAGCAATAGTTTTTCGCTAAAGAAAAAAATGAGTTCTTTAAAAAGTAACTAGTTTACAAATGTCAGATACCATTTTTTGAGTTTTCGGGTGAAACAAATTGTGAACAAAGGTCATACAGTTTGGAATTATCGGTAATAAAAGTGAAGGATTTCATCACTGGTACTGAAACTTCAATCCTCTACCTTGAAGCCCTATGTTCCACGGGGAACGTAAGGGGATAAAAGAAAAACCTAAATGGAGTGGACTTCTTGTTCGTAGTAAGACATGAAAGTATGCTCACTGTAAATTACAGTAAAAGAGTTGAACTAGTGGCTTTCAGATATTTGACGTCTCTGTTTTTTATTATGTAATCTGAATAGACTTCTGCTCTGAAAACAGGATTTGTATTCTTATCTTTCCTCGAAGCCAACCAGCTGAGGATATTATTAATTCTTCGTCCAATCTGATGTATTATGATCCCTTGTTTCACGGCCATCTTAGTCTATCTAATGAAATAGGACCTGTACCTGTTGTTTAGTTGAATTTTGCTTCTACTCCATTTCATTGTATTCTCTCCGCATTCAAATTAGATGATTTGTAATAGAGGCACAAACACTTTTGATTTCTTATGGCTTGAACTCGCAATCAACTACAATAAACAAGAGATTTATCACGAAACCCTTATAAGCGTAGCTTTAGAATTTGTGACACTCAGTAAAATCTGCACCTCTGGTACAGTCAGCCGTGTAGCATCTTTGAACCTAATGGTTGTACGCACACCAGCATCTTCATATACAGAGGAAGTGAACCAATTATATGATCTGCTTCTAACTCCTTTCTAGAAACATAAGTGAAACATCACGTGGGCCATCATACTAGAAATGATGGACCAACAGATTCTGCATGCCCTCGACGTCGTGATTAACACTGACTTGGTATTGAAATGGCACAATTCGATAGAATACCAGAGCTAGGCATCATTCGACTATCCAATAGCTCCTTGTCTTCACCAATTTACTTGGTCGGAAAAAGTCCTTTGGTGATAATCGACCGTGCGGTGATTACACAGCTTTAAACAAACATACAATACATGGTAGATTCCCATAACCCCATATACAAGACTTCGCCAGTAGGTTCCCAAATGTTAAAATTTTCCCATTAGATAAGTTATTTTAAATATCATATAGTGGTTCAGTATTAACAACTGGATGACGTTTCGAGCATAAATTATTGCTCATAAACATGTGACTGTCACACGGCTTCACAATTTTTTATGTATATTATCTCTCTCTCTCTCCATCTTCCCTTTGTTATTTGTTGCCACTTTTCACATTTCCACTATAAGCATTTCGTCATTCCGATTGCACGTGTTTGGTGTTGAATCGATAAACTAAGCCCCAGTGATTAACCTGTCTCTCTCCACTTGATTATATTACTTGTTAAAGCTCTCACCCTGTTACACCCTATTTTTCGATTACATGCAAGTGAATGCAATGCAATGGCTGAGCTTTTTTCTAGGTTATTTATCTTTGAAAGGTCAACCATTCTGGGTCTAGCCAAATTTGTATCTCCCAGTAATCTAGAAGACATCGATCTACAGGTTTGATCTATGTAATTGACCCCACAGTCATTACACGGTAGGTATTTAGTAAGTTATATTATTTTTCTTAATTGGATCTATTGGGTCATTAAGCCGACAAAGTTTATCTCTGAGAAATATAGCTGGTTTAAACGCCACCCTAATTCAAGCCCCCTAGAGAATCCTACGTAAGGCCTCTGATGTTCCTTCTTTATACGCCAGCACTAGGGGGGCTTCGAGTTCTACATTATTTTCGTCCTTTTTATTGCTAATCTTACTTTTTACTATGGTTTCTCATGTGTTCCTGAATGAATTCTGGCGGGTAGTTATTCACTAGCAATATCTCCTTTATTCAATCAACTTCGTTACTTGAATCTTTTGCCTTACTATTTAGGCTTTTGGCCTGATTATGCAGAAATTTAACTAGACATATCTTTACAGATTCTGGATGGGATGAATTAAAGTCTAGGTATTTATTAGAATGTGTTGGTTTCCTAAAAATGTTAGTATCTAACCCATCATTTTGCTTTCGTTTTATTCTACATTCTAGCATGGCCAACTCACTTTTTTCGTTTTCTGCCTCAAAAGTGAATTGGATTATCTGGACATATACCTCAATTTTTCACACATATTTTTATTTTATTCATTTTATTTTTGATTACAGCTTGATTCCACACTGTATTTTTCGTACAAGTATGGAATTTTCAGCGTGGATATCGGTAGCCCAAATTTTGCAGGCCGACCATAGATATAAACCTAATAGTACACAGAATCCAGTAAGATCGCCGGATGCCGTGATGACTTTGCTTGAAAATGCTTTATTACTGACGAAATGTTAGCAGAGATGTATTAAATTCATTAAACTGTTCACAGACTAATATAATTTGGTCTTCTTCCACATCAAGTAACTCACCTGGTAAATGATGAGACGAAACTCAGTTGAGTAAGGAATAAGAAAGCAGGTCGAGTAATTAAATTCAAGTATTCCCTTTAATTACAATCAGCTTCCAAATTTAAATGTGGGCAGTATCGTTCAATAAATCTGATATTTAAAAAATGCATAATATTGTTGTGATATCCTAATTCGAATAATTTGCAGCTTTTTTTATTCTTAGTGATAGCTGATCTTTCGTCACTAAGGCAAACCGTGAATTATGCTTTATATATATATATATATAATATACATATGTATATAGAAGTTAAAATATCATAACCAATGTCAAAGTCTTTCAGAATTTGACCTTCAAGAACCGATTAGATACAGAGAATGCTATGAAATGTGATTCTAAATTAAAGCATGTCTGCCTTTTTGAATTTGATATGGGCAGATACAGTATTGCACTTATTTACTGGGTACTTTTTCTGTAAATCTATACTGTCAGGTAGGGTTGTGGATTAGGATTATGGTTAGAGTTAGAAGTAGGTTAAACAACAGTGTCAGAAATATCATTAGATGTCAAAGTACCATGACCTACAGTCATCTGGATGAATGTGTATATCACGCATGGTATGATTTCTCTATAGATCATCTGTGTAGTGACTGAAAGACATTCTTACAGCACATAAGCCAAAAGTATAGAGTGTGATATCATATTTGCAATGTTTTTTAGTGCATTTTTCAACTCAACTTTTCTTGCACCTGAATTCTAATTGGTTGTTCAAGGACATGGGGGTTTGGCTGTGATGGTTTAACTTTGCCATATATAAATGGATCTGTTATTCATTGTCAATCATCAGAATGCAATATCCTCCATGTAAATTTCCATAAATAGCTGTTCTTTCATATGTTTTTTCAGATAAGATTTAAATAAAATATTTAAATTAGAATAAGGCATTCGATGTTACTATAAAGTGTTGAAGTGTCCTTTGTCCACTTTTCTAACATATATGTATACGTGCCACTACATCTTCAGGACACTTTTAAAGGTTGCCAAACATCAGATTAAAAGAAATATTGAATAATTTTCAATTTGTGATAAAATTATATGATCAATGTAATTTACACGTGATATTGCTATCATTAATATCACTATTTTTATCATATGAAACAAACAGTTGTATGAAAGATTGCTTTTCCCCGCAGAATTTTTATTAACTTTCCGCCACTCTTAAGTAGCACCATATTTTTCAGAGTCAAATAATTTCGTTACATCCTTTGTACCACTTTCATATGTGATTTATTTCGGTAATTCATGAGTACTTATCTAGTAATATTTGTCCGTATTCTTAATATATCTTGCAGTAAACATACACAGCCATATTATATTTCAAGTACCACCTACTAATCGTTCGGCCGCTCATATATACGCCTTGATATAATTGATCCTCTTGTTTACGGAATCTCAAATTTTCAAACATTCATTGTTTAAATATTCATATATTTCCAGGTTTATTTATATGCGCTTAAGTAAAAGTAAATAGGCTGTATGTCATTTTTGAGTTCGCGAATTATTTTTTTCTGAGTGAACTCTGATTTTATCGTTTCATAGACGAGAAAAATAGTACAAATTTAAATAATAATTAAAAAACAAGTTGCAGAACTAGGTTTCTTGTATGATGTGATAGCCAACAGTGAAGACTAAATGAAAATATGAAGAAGTATTTTTGCCATTTTTCACATATATACACTGATGGTGCAATCAGAGGGAGCCTTGTTTGGTTGCCTTCAGTTCACCAGGTCTAAAAATCTCCTACAAGTCACATTCTTGCTTATGATTCACGATAGGGTAGTTGAAACTTGAAATATTTCTACTCAAGTATACTATCACAACACCTTTAATCGGTATGCTTCAGTCCGTTGATCGTTTTATCCATGAACACTAAAACCATTTCGATTACTTATTGTAATTATCTACTGTTTGACTTATTTGAAAAAGCCTTAAATAGGTTCCTTAACCTCAGTAGTTTGTAATATATACAGCTTAACTTTCAAAGCCGATATCTCATTATGCATGGTTAGTTTTGAAGCAAGACAGCAAGTCTTTTATTGAAATATTACTGTGCTGAAAATGACATATTAACTCAAGAACCACTGGAGATCAGCCAGCGTTGACCATTTTCCCCACTTCATTTCCAAGCTTTTCAGAAGACTTCACCTATGGTTGTATGAGTCGTCCAGTTTCGAATGGGGTTATTGCTGATCTTATTCTGTCAAATGAATAGCTTAAAAATTATCGAACTACTTGAAAACACAGGTTAATCAAAATTCGCTGCAATTTACTGAATAAAACTTAAAGTCTGATTGTAATCCATACTGGTAACATTGAATGACTAAACAATTTCAGCACATACTTTGTTTAATGTTTCTAAAACTACCTAGTTTCTTGATTTTGTTTTGCATCAGTCTTCTCGTATTTACCAATAACACGTGTATGATCCATCAAACCAGTAGTCTGTCAGTCTTGAGATGCCAATGGCTACAGCTTTGCGACAAAAATATTTTTCAAATGAAATCTATCAATATATATATATATATATATATATATATATATAAACAATAAAAGTTTTACTTTTAGCTTTGTAATTTATCTTTAAAAAAGGACAAGTTTTAGCATAACTTGAAAAATAAATAAATAAGTCTGTTTAATTACTTGTTAGTTTTCTTTATTTGATGCCCATTAAAATTTTTAAGAAAACTGATTAGTGGACAAAGGGTGTTCTTCTCGATAACTTCATCAGGTTCGGCAATTTATGACCATAATAATCAAGGAATAACTGTTAATACCAACCTCGTCTATTGGCTATAGTATACATTACCAAAAACCTTTAGATGCAAAACACCCCAAATAGCAGAGGCCATTGAAAGTCCCCTAAATCAACTAGAGCTCTGTATGCAAAAGAAACAGGTCCAGCCACTGTTCCTACCCTAGAGTGCTTTGTAATCTATAAATTCATAAATTGAAATAAGAATTGAAATTGTGCACTGTGGTAGAGTATATCACCTTGATATGATCATGATCAATAAATTGTGCTCGAAACATCATATTATTACTGTATAACGCTGTGAGACTTTATCAGAATAAGTTTTACGCACAATAGAAATTCATAAGTTCTATATTATTTGCCTTCATTTACCTGATATTCAATTCAGTGTTATATTGGTGCATATTACCACTTGCAAATACTTTTGAACTGTAATCCGTCAATACATTTTTTCCAATGTTACTGAAAACTTTAATGATGTTAACAACAATAGTCCTTTAATTATTATGGATAAATAACCGTAGAACTTGATGAAAAGAATATTCTTTGTTTACCAATCAGTCTTTTAAAGTTTCTTTATTTGACTAAAGTTCCCAAATTGTATGTCACATCAGCACTACATTTGAAAAATACAAATTTTTAATTTACAAAAGTAAATCAATATCAGTCGATAGTATTATTAGTATTTATTTTGTTGTACACATAAACTAATGTACTTTGTATTTATTATTTCATTATCAGGTCATACTTCCTTAATAATTTGTATGAAAGCGATACAATACTAGAATATTTTTTCTTTCTTGTTTTCAGTACCATTTTGTTAACTTTCTTGATTTGATACTTATTTCTTCGATTTAAGTAAACAGTTAATTATAATTATTCTCATAATTAAAATTTTCAAAAGAATGGTTACTGAACAAAGAATACTCTTTTCGATAACCTCATCATCAGGTTCTACAGTTATATATACATAATAGTGAATGAATTAGCGTTATTAACAATATTAATGTTTAAATAACATCAAATCAATAATGTCTATGGATTACAGTTTAATAGCATCAACATAACAATAAACTGAATGTCAGAAAAATTAGGATAGATAATAATACAAATTCATGAATTTATAGTCTCTACTGAAGGCCAGGACAGTAGTAGTGACTGGACACAACTTTGTGTGAGTGACTTGATATGATTATGAGCAATAATTTTTGCTTGAAACGTCATCACTTAATATTACTATATAACATTGTGTGATTTATCAAAATAAAATCTTATCTGTAATGGAGTTATACTCTACCATAGTGCCCAAGTTTTATACTTATATCAATGTTTCTACACTCATTGTAGATTTTAAAAGTTTTTTTGTTGAAACAAGGCATGAATGATTGTATGGTGTAGCTTTACATTAGTTCATTTACTAGGTAGCCTTATTTACTGAAAAACATTTGCAGTATAATTTCTTTTTTGTAGTCAAAACATAGTAATTCAAAAACTTCAAAGAAAATAGTTTTCATTGCTTTTCGTCTTTTCTATATCTTATTAATCATAAACTGGACAGTTTACTTCGTAAATAAATTAGCAAGAAAATGCACCCCACTACAGATTTCACCCATAACTTGGGGACATATTTCATAAAGCCTGTACAATACGTGGTAGATAATTTGTGTGATATGTGTGTGATTGATGTTTGTTAAGTTGACGAAAATTCTGGTATCTCTAGCCACCTAACTAACCTGTGTTGAATCACAATAAAATTTGTTTTCTTGAAAACTGTTGCTGTAGAAAAATAAGTACTTGCCGAAGTAATAAAGCACCAGAAAAGGCTGTAAACAATACACCGGTTAATAATCAAGGTATCAGTTCATAATCTATTGGATGAATGAATTATAACGTATGTACCACGGCTGAAGCCCTATGTTCCTCTAGGAATTAAAGGAAATAATAATATTATTACCTGAGATTTTTAACCTAAAATCTTAATTCAATTTTTTTGGGGTAGGGGGCCAAAACAAATACTCGTCTACTTGTCGGAAAGCTTTCAGCATGTGTAATATGTATTGTTTGTGAATATTATGATGAGCCGATTATTTGTTAATCTTGTCTAGGTTTCAGGGAAGATAATATCTTTGGGTGACAATTCAAAAAACTTTGCAGAAGGAAAACAGTATGATGAAGAATGATTTTAATGAGAGTTTTGATAAATAACTGAAAATTTAGCCCTGTGATGATAACGGTAATTAATCGCGTACTACGTTCAAGAGTGAAATAGTGACGTATCTCCGAGTGATGTGAAAATAATAAGGAAATTGCAGTTTGACATAAAGTCAGTGGAAATTTCGCCAAATACGTACAAAAACTTGAAAGTTAGTCACGTTTCTTGAGTTATGCAACTGTAAGGTAGGCTTTCTTTAAATACTAGTTTGTGCTTCGTAATGAGGTCGGCTATAACTTATTATTCCTCATAATTATCGCTCTCTCATTCTTCTGCATGTTTCCGGTGTCTTTGCTGAAAGACAGTCAGTCTATTATTACGCTATACTCTTAGAATTTAAATTCTTGTGAACTTATTTATTTATTGTTATATTTGCTTTGCTTTGAAAGCACTATTGTATTGATTTTACGGAACCCTTTCACATGTAAAGGTGTTAAACTGATCTGGGTATATAGTCCCCTTTTTTGGTAAAAACAAGAGCAACAAATACTGTGAACTTTAACATTTGATTAATCTTGTCCGTAATTTCATAACTATTTAAGTAGATGGGCTTTTTTGCTTAGGTATGTTCTGTATATCTTTCAGATAGAATTTATTATCAAATGTTCTTGTAATTCTTTGAGAGTATGAACTTTTCTCCTTTAGATATTTTTCCACAGTTGTATATTCTTCTACTATATCTGGAAAGTTTAGCTTTTTAGTTGTGCACTAAACAGATTTACTAAATACGACCTATAGCTTATTAGACGACATCTATGTAAATTGAGCTGTCCGCTATATATGATGACCTGTAATGTGTTGCTTGTGATCAAAACTTCTGCTTAATGTAGTCATCTTTGTTGACTGAGACGGATAATAAAGTGATCTACATACTGATGAATGATATCAATTATATCTCCTAGTGTAATGTTCGGAAACAATGAGGATATCTTGTAGAAACTTATCATTTGTTTGTTGTCATAAAAATAAAGACAATTCAGTATAGGAAAGTTCCTTTATTGACGAAATCATCTCCAGATAATGTACAGTCTTATTTATATTTACCAAAAAAGTATAGTAATTACTTCCTTCTTTCTTTCTTGTACTATCGTAAGAGTACACTTTAAATTATGAACAGTTGATTCTTTTCTAATTGCCCATAATTTTTTCAAACAGATGATTCAGCTCATGGTTAAAAGAATTAATTATAAATATTGTTAATGTCAAGAGTTGACTAAATCATAGCAATTTCTACAGGTATATAGAAAATGAAAATCCCAAAGTGTACTACTTTTTACACTAGTTAATTAACTGAATTGTTTCCTTTAGTTCTTAAAACTCGCTATTTTGTATTGATGCGTAGTTTTCCTCCCTAACTTGAATTCTAAATTTCTTTACCACGATTAATTTCTGATTTGAGGTATGACTTATTTACATAGTCTATCGATACGCCTTACATTTGTAGAAAGACTGACACCAATGTGCACAAATGTGTGACTTACAAAGAAGTATTGAAATAAATATTACTATGTATCATCGTTACATAAGCTTAATGATTGTATTCACTGTATATAACTTAGACATCTATTTAATGAAAGATTCATTTCTAATAAAATATTAATTTCATTTTCCGTTTTCTGTTGTTTTTGCAGTTCGTTATACCATTTATGGCTACAATGCATCACTGTTCTATTCGATCATGTCTACTTGTCGAACGTGCACTTGTACGCCTGTTGAATACCGTTTGTGCAATATTGTCAGCCCAGTTCAAATCTGAGACAGTACAGAATGCAGTGATACATAATAACTCAGGTGGCAACAATAATAAAGATAGTAACAGCATTCCAGCCCCAGCTAGATGTGCAGATGGCCTCCTCTTATTCCGACGTATGTGTATGGGTGTAGTAGACTTAAGTCGAATTGCCACTGATTTAAACACTAATAATAATAGCAGTACTAAAAATTTATTAAATATCAATTTAGAACGATGTAATTCTAATCCAGGACTATTATCATTGAAACCTATGGAGTCTATTGATTGGGCAATGTGTTTAGAGTCCAGTAAACTGGATACTAACTCTGAATTCACTGCTTCATTCACTTATGACTATGATGAATCACATTCATCGTATCGTAATGATAATATTGGATTGCCGACAATAGATTCAATTTGTGATCTGTTGGCACCATATCTTTTTCGTGATGGGGATCTAGGCTGGCAGGCCAGAGATTCCCTTTTATTGATTGCGGCGTATTCTTTGAGAGATGAAGAATTCAGCCACAGTATTGCTAAATATTCATCAATTTGTGCGGTAAGTTTTCACTATTATTATCGTTTTTCATGTATTGACTACGATCAACGTGGACTAGTGACAAATAGTTCAAAGTTTTTCGCTAAAAGGAAAAACTTATGCCGGAGTTTTTTCAATAATGAAGTTATCAGTATTTCAATGAATATATTTTTCCTTGTTTTTAAAGATTAAGAAGTGTAACTCACTTCTTCAGACAGTTCAATTTCAGTAGTGTGATCATGACAACCACGATTCATTCTGTTTAAATTAGTTGAAGCAACTGACTAGTCTAAAATTATTTCGCTTAAGATCTTCGGCTCGTGGTTCTTATGCTGGCATATATGCCTGTATATAATTATAAACTGTTATCGAAAAACTGAAGTAATCTGATCTGATTCATTTTGTTGTTTTACAAATGGGTTAAACTGATCAGTATTGTTCATCCCTACTGTTATATAGTCATGGAATATTGGTGGTAACTATTTCTTATTACATAAATCTTTCACAAAGGTTTTAGTTTGTCTCAAGTTTTATTACCTTCGATCCACTTTCTTCAACAGTTTAGGATAGAGTTTACGTAAACCACAGGAACAGTAAACATTTTAACGTTTCTATAGGTTACAACATTGTTTCTGAATTAGCTTGCATCTGCGTCGCCTGACAGTTTGACCACTCTCAGGGCTCAATCCATACTACTCATGAGAACCTCATTTTATAGACCGATTTCTACTATTAAGACATTTTTCTATGAACCAATACATTATTTTATCTATTGATGGGTTTCTTCCCGAGGAATCTTCAACCACTGGAATTATCTGAGACTAACACTAAAGCTGAAATTCCATTAAACTTTTTATATAATTTAATTGATTTTCTTAGCGGAAGCGCTAAAATAATACTACACATATAATATCCATAGCATCATGCTGTATATTGCGGGTGACAGCTATTTCGTAAAGATAAGTGATAGCATGTACATTTTTAAATCTTGACAAAGAGAATAAGGGAGAAGCTTGTGAACCATATTAACCACCCTGAATTTAAACTGTGTATTTCGAACCTATTCGTGAATCTGTGCGCCTTAGGCTTTAACTAGTATGTAAAATTTTACCGATCTTTGTTATACACTCATTTATGTTAAGTCACATGCCAGTTAATCTATTCAGCTAGCCGTGGAAGAGATGGTTTCACAGTTTACTAGCTTAAAGATAAATGAATAACTTACAGCATCAGCCGGCCTCTAGTCCCACTCGGTTGGAGTAGACAATCATGAAATCCTACCATACTAAAGAGGTTACATGTGGTAGTTTCAGTCACACGGTAAAAACATTGCTCGATAGTGTTTCAGTGTTTCGTTTGCTTACTAGTTCCAATAAGGTGTAATCACAATGTTATGCTTTCGTCGAGTAATTTATTACCTTGTCACGAAAAAAGAACAGTCAATGAAGATCTTGACGATAAGGCAAGATGTGTATTCATGTGTGCTTATATCTAGTAGCTTCATTTTTAGGTCTCCACTTTAAAACAAAAATAAAAATTACTACTATTATTTACGAAAATTGAGAAATGTTTAAAAATTCAACAATACAATTATTTTCCACTTCATCTTTTAAATCAGTATGAGGTCCTAGGACAGTTAATGTAAATACTACCCTAGTAAAAAGATGAATGCTAACCGTAATGTCTATTTGTTTTTTTTGTCGATGTTGTATTCGAAGTTACATAATTGAATACAACTTTCTAAATAGCCAGTATTATTTTGAAAGTAAATAGATGTACCGGCAAGTAATTCAGTACCTAAATGAAAAAACAGGAAAATAACCGTTGACTAATTAGGAAGTATTAATGCAAACCACTTACTCGATAAATTATTTACTACTGTATTGAGCTATCAATCACGAATGGTGAATAGACATTTATGATATGAAGAAGAAAGAGTAAAATTCTTTTTCAGAAGTAAAATACTTAGGACAGCAAACCACACCTGCGCAATAATGTGGGTAACTGTCGATACAAATACACTTGGCTCTAATATAACTGCAGTTTTACCATCACTACGTCTAAAATTTTTTGTGTTTCAAAAAAACTCTCAAATACCGATAGACTTCGTTAAATAGGTGAGGGCAACATTAATAAGTACATACAAATGGACCTAGATACAGGTTCCCGTATCAGAAATCCGCAAATCCATTCCTCCATCAACAGTATGCTATCAAGATGTTCCACACTACGCCCCATTCGCAACCTCCCTACTTTTTTAGCCAGTCCTAAGACCGGTAAAACAGTGAATATTGGGCGTGGGGCTAGTGACACCACACCAGAAAATCACTCCAGTCGCTACAGAAACTTCAAAGAACAACAAAAACATTAAACACAAACTTATTCTTCACTGGAATCGGAGAGGTGAAATGACACTGGCTGATGGAAGCCTTCGGGAAGCCAGTCGGCCAGCCAACATGATTTCGCTGGATGAAAGCAAAAATGAGGATAGGGAGGTGGAATGTTCATGCAATGTTCGAAGCTGAGAAGGCTGTTTGGATTGCTAAAATTATGAGAAAATACGGAATGGAAGTGCTAGAAATCTGTGGGAGCGGATGGGAGGAATGTGGACTCTTCAAGTTGTCGATTCGAGAGTCAGTAATCTACTCCGGTCTGGTCACATAGACGACAACCACGAGCACACTGAGGTGGTTAGTGGTTATCATGATGTCACCAACAGCAGCCAAAGCTCTAATGGAGTGAGAACCAATCTCCACACACCCCCCCCAGAATTATGACATATGATACAACCCAAAAGGAAGGGAGAAAGGAAGGAAGGTTTCAGTTATCATGCAATGCCACTCGCTCACAAATAACTCAGAATAAGAGCAGAAGGACGATTTCCATCGACAACTGCAAACCAATAAGTTGTCAGAAGAGGCAGTCAGTGAAGACGAGACTTCAAGTTAACATTAAGAAGACAGACGTGGTGAAGCTACCATACCACCAACAGCTATTACCGATAACTATAAATGGTAGAAATTTGAAAGAGGTCACTTCCTTCACTTATATAGGCAGCATCGTTTCAACTACACGCGGCACGTTTGAAGATTTCAAAACCAGAATCGGAAAGACAAAGCACACCTTCATCACGCTGAATTCAGTTTGGAAAGCTACTGCACTCAGCACAAAGAACAAAGTTCGGATTTTCAACAGTAATTTAAAGTCAGTCCTTCTATATGGGTCAGGAACTTGACGCGTCACGACAAACGTTTCCAACAGTCTGATGCAGACTTTTGTCAACAGCTGCCTTCGCTGGCTCCATACTGTAGATCAGATGGCCAGTTGGAAGGGAAAAGTGTCAGGGAACTCTGGGAATGAACGAACCAACTAACAACCTACTGCTCAACAAATATGCCGAAGAAAGTTGAGGTGGATCGGTCACACACTGAGGAGACCGTTGGGTACCATCGCGCTTGGCCAGCAGCCGATTGGAATCCAAATGGAAAACGAGTTGTGTGTCTGAGGGTGATGTGGAGGCATGTAGTCAGTCTTACAAACGTTGCAGTCACTGCACTTGCTATCGGTCGTCATCATTTTCCCAATCTGACTCACCGTGGGCTATATTTCCAAGTCATCAGTTGGTTGTAGTATCGTGTTGCGCATCCAAGTTACGTTAGATGAATCCACGAACGAGTATCACTCCTACACAATAATTATGAACAACCAGTCAGCAGGAAGGAAATTTTAGACACATGCATTTTTTTGAAAAATTATATTTCTAAAATAACGGAGACATTAATTCACTCAAAATAATTATCTCTTACGTGGTGCAAGAAGGTTTTCCGATTTCCCATTGGGAAATCTATGGAAAACTGAGACCAATTTTGATTTATTTATTCACGTTGATGGTGATAAAGAATTGAATTACGTTTTTCAAACCACTTCAAAATCCTATGGAATATGTTTGCAATATTATGGCTCATCTAGGATGTCACTAGAACGATTAACTGTATGGAATATCTTCGTTGAATGCCTCTTCTACCACCTTTTTTCGCCTTTAGGTCTTCGAGTTTGCCTGACATTAGATGTAAATCGTCGGCAAAGTGCAGGTCTTTTAACCCCCCTCTCTGTTCAACGTATTTCTGTCTCCCAGCCCTCATGGTCTGACGCATTATTCAGTTCAGCACAATTAGGAATACCATCAGTGTTGGAAGTCAGACCTGTCTTACTCATGTCTTCACTTCAAGGGCTTCTGTGAGTTTGCCGGTGTGGATCGCTTGACACGTGACATTGTCATATGGCTGTTGAATAAAGTTGATAAAGGATCTGGGCGTGCCATCGTTTTGGTGTTTTTTCTGTTTTGCTGAAGTTGTCTTGTGTCTCTTTATAGATCGCAAAATTTGAAGCATTGATCGGCCATCTGTCTTCCATTTAATTCCCTAATCTTCGACATTTTTGTTGGGGATGCAGCTAAAGTGGTTTTTCCTTCTTTAATATGATTATGAACAATAAATTTTGTTCGAAGCGTCATCCAGTAAATATTACTGTTTCACACAAACTTATATGGAATTTCCCTTTAGCTTGATTAAATATAATGTTTTATCTCTATTATAATAGATAAGGAATAACATTCTGTTTTCTAGAGTTCGTCGGTATTGATTTGATTTTTTGAAATTTGGTTATAGATTGTTATCAGTTAGCGAATTGTCTTCGTGCTTTTTTCGTAATCAGAAGGTTCTGGTTTCGAAACCCAGTTGGTATGTACTCCCGGAGTGTCTCAAACTAGAACGAAAAGGCTATATAGTACTCGCTGTTTTTCAATGGTTCTTTAACTGATATCAATCCCTTATTAACCTTAAAACGAACCAAATCCTTAAAAATTAACTCTTGAAAATGAAATGTTTTTGGTTTTTTATCAGTAAGCTTCTGGGAAGTTTGTCGACTATAGGCGTTCTAAATGTACTATTTTATAGGATTCTTGTTTATGAAATATTATCTGTGAAGCAGCCACTGGTAGTCAGAGTAGGCAGCTGAAATTAACTTTCAGATTCTAAATGAATCGCTGCCAAAGAGATATGGAGTATCAGGTTGTATTGATAGTCTTGAACCGATTGACATCATTTCTAGTCTGGAGTTCAATTCTGTTCCTGGTTTTTTTTTTCAAATATATTGTGATCGTCAGTGTAATAACAGCTTGTTTCATATATAATGCCTGTTTACAACTACTTTATCTGTGGACTATTAATAATTTTAGAGATATTCCCTTGAATGTTTTAGTTTTCTAGCAATGAACTTTCTTTTTCTTTCCAGGTTATAGCTACTGGTTTAGGAATGCTTTATACAGCGTTACCACATCGTCTAGTGAATAATAATTCACCCGAAACATGGCCAATCTTGATTAGGACATTGCATACAAACCAAGAAGCAAGTGCACGTTTCACTGAATTCTTAGGCGCCTTGGATTTTTGTCGTTCGCTTCTCGAGGTACGTATTTATTGATCTATATATTATTTCTTGTATTATGCATGATAATAATTACTATTGGATTAATCCACTATTTTTGCTTAGTAGGGGTCAGTTTTAGAGGATATTTTATTGATTGGTTTACTCGTATTACACCCATTTACGATCTAAAGGCACATTTAGGCTCTGTAATTGTTCAATAGAAGAAGCGTTTAATGTGTGGTTGTTCTTCACGTCTTTCACATTCAAACTCAGTGCTTATGTGCATCTTATGTCGTCGATCTAAGAAGAAATACAGTTCTGTATGTAACAAAATAGCGTGTGATTCTTCATGAAATTTTAACGCTATTAATATACAAAAAGGTATTGCATTTTCTTTCTTGTTTAATCAAAGGGCTTACAGAGAATCTGTTGATTTTAAAACATTTTACATTGGCGATAGACATCAGTTTAACAGACTTTGGAAAACAGGGAACAGTGCACAGCTATTTTGTCTTCATCTGAGACTTTGCAGTATGGCTCACTAACAGTCATATGTAGAACCACGCAGCGAATCACAACTCAACTTCTAGACTCTACTCCAGTGATCTGATTTTGTTAATGATATACCCGAAACACCACCCAGTTTTATCTCTTACTAAAATTTCTTCCTACTTGATAAAGTATATCACACTGGTGACAAATTTTTATTAGTCAGAGGAAAGCATTCATTATCACACCCGTTTTATTTCAGTATCAAACTAATGAGCTACATTACTCTTATTAGACTAGTAGTGATATATTTTCAAAATCGATTTTTCTTCAGTATACACTAATTAAATTAAACTAGCATATAAATTTCCATAAAAGCTGAGTTATTTAATACTCTATCATGGGTTCATACTGTGTAAGCGCCTCCTCTCCATAACTGAGCGTTTATAAGAAAAAAACGATGAACCTATCTAATTCACAAATTCACATGACAATACTAACCTTGAAATTTAACCATGTTTTAAATGTAAAGTAAATTTAACGTGTTGAAATTATCTTTTTAACGAATTGTATTATGGTTTTTAGTCCATTTTATGTATAAGAAATAATTACTCAAAGTACACACCTCATTAATTACTTATAATATAGATGGGTATTAATTTGTCACTGAATGATTCACAACACCATTTTTACTTGTCAGCTCAATATTAGTTAACATGTCTAATGATAGGATAATGAAAATTATCACTGCTGTATAAAATTTCAAGCTTGGTTTTTTATAAATTCGATTATTTTTTACCATATTTTTGAAATTTTAAAATCTTTATGCTTAATAGTTCAACTACGAGTTCATCTATAGAAGCTTGTAATCACATTCGTATTTTTGGTGTGTTGAGGGAGGGGTTGAGTGATTTCAGGTAACCACCTTATAAAAAGGTGATAACTGCAGTTTGAAAAAAATCTGGGTTCTTCGGGCATTAGTGATCTTCGGAGTATCCATCTGATTTTACGTCGATAAAGCTGCGAAAATTGACTAACTGCCATCCATTAACTGCCACTCCTAGCTGACTGTTTCATGGCGAGTCTTGAAAACAACATTCTTGATCCCTTGATAAGTCAACTGCACTTATACAAGAGATATGTAGATGATACGTTTATAATCTGTGATGAAAAATGTGATTTAGATTCTCTCCTGAAAACCTTCAACGCAGTGCATCCATCAATAAGATTCACCTTAGCACGCGAATCGAACAACGCATTTCCATTCCTCGATGTATTACTCACCAGAAGAGACGACTGTACGATCCAAAGATCGATATACCGTAAACCAACATGGACTGGACAGTTTATCAACTTCCAGAGCTTTGTTCCACTGACCCGAAAGAGAAACTTGGTACGTACATTGTGCTCAAGGATTAGAAAAATCTGCTCGGAAGACACGGTGGAGAAAGAATTAAATTTATTGCGTGAAACCCTACTAGAGAATGGGTATCCGCCAAGATTCATCGACAAAAACATGAAGGAGAAGCCCCCGGTGCCAAATATCACAACGGTTCCTAAGAAGACTCTCTTCATGAACCTAGAATTCAAAGGTGATATCGCAGCGGAAATTCTCAGAAACCGCCTTTCAAAAAGTCTGAAGAAGACATTCCCAACAGCCACTCTACGTATAACATTCTCCTGTAGACAGTTAATCCAGTCTAACGTTAAGGACAAGATACCGCTTTTGGCTACTTCAATGTGTATTTATCAATTCACTTGCTCGTGTGGAGCAAAGTATATCGGCCGTACGCAACGTCAAGTCCAAAAACGTATCCTGGAACACTGCCCAGCTTGGTTAGCCAGAGGAGAAAAGAAGAATAGCAACAGCTCAATCCTCGAACACCTTGTTATCTCCGGACATCGAGCACCCCCACACGATTGCTTCACAGTGGTACAAAGAGTCCCTCAATATCGTACAAAAGGACTCCGGATACGACATCTGTACATAGCTGAGGCATTAGTTATTCGTGACATAAAACCGGACCTATGCATACAAAAACGATACATACATTCTCTAGCCCTACCATGGCCAGAGTAAATTTCTTACTATAATTTTTCTCCTCTCTTTTAATATGTAAATTCACTATTATTATTATTATTATTACTGTTCTTAATACTTTTATTATTATTACTATTCCCACCATCCACATTTTATTACTACTCTATGACTGTTTATTAATAACATTGCTTTTTCACACAGATCTTATACAAAACTACTGTATAACCTTTCCACTAGTTCCTGTCCACTCTACACTAGCTTATTGATTAGTCATTATCTCACACTTATTAGGTCATGCCAACTTCTGTCTCCTTTCTAACTTACAATTAGTCATCCCTTCTTACACCTCACATTATGTAGTAGAATTTTCAAGGACAAAGTTTACCAGTATCTGATTGGTCAAAAACTTATGTGTTTAATTATAATTACGATTGTACAGCTCATGAAAATGAATCGTCGAAAAGAAAATTTTCTTCGCTGTTTGTGCCTTTTCTTATGACTCAATATGGGAATATTTCGTTCATTAATTTCATTTTCTTCACTATGTTACTTGGCGGAATATAACTGTCATTAATCACCATCATCATCACAATGTTAGACCTGTTAGATCTTTTCATCCTCGTTCAAACCCTGGAGAATAATGCAGGAAGAGCGACTGTCTGAATATAAAGTTTGAAATAGTCTCCACTTGACGGGGTAATTTTCAGTAAAGATGCAATAGCCTATTTCATTTAGGTAGTGAGATACTCACCTATAACCCCTTGAATATATGATCCTGGTATTGGTACTCACTTGAACAATAATCTCCCTCGACTGGTAGGTAATCTAATCCTTGACCACAGTTTATCCTACATTACAAATTAGAAAAACGCTGCTTTATACAAATGTTTTTCTGCTTGTTTCATAGAAACGTAAACTAGTCATAAAACTAACTTAAATCTTACTGTTTAATACTTTTCCTCTAAACAGGAGTGAAATGCAACCAAAATATCTTCGTTTACTTGTGGCGCAAAGGCTGAAATAGAAAAGCAGGACATCTTTCATGACATTTATTAATATAGACGGAGAATTTATCGCATAGATGTTTGTCAAAAGATAGTGCAAAATTGTTGACCATTCTAAATTGATCAGCTCACTGTTTTATTTAACTCTCCTCTTTGGTAATTAGGTTCCATTCAAAATATTTTATTGGTTTCATCATCTACGCTGATCTCTTCCCGGATAGAGATCTGGTTATCTGATATAATGTTCTCAGGTCTTCTCTACCTAAAGCCTGCCTGTTCTGCCTCAGTTGCCAGTGCGTCGAAGAATTGTCTTTCGTCTTTCTTCGCATTCTTCTTCACCTCTTTATTCAGTGAGACTTACATTGAAACCAGCTTCCCCTTCCGTTGTTCATCTTCACATTAATTCATCTTCTCTTGCATTATTCTCCTCTCTTCTGTTATCTTCCACGTCTTCGTAGACAGTCATTCCTTGTCTTGTCCCTTCTTTCTTCTTAAAACGGCTGTAAACTTTCCATTGAACATCACCTTTAGAGAGTACCAGTGTTCTTCCACACAGGTTTCCTCAGTGATGCAATGTAGTGTCTAAGACTTTGTTCTGATGGCTACAGTGAAGGTGTCTTTTGTAGTTTCGTCCTCCAGTTTCTGAATGCTGTACTTGAACTGTGGTCTGTCTCCAGTTGTTCTGAAGGATTTCAGCCTTACTTTGAAGGTTCCTTGCACTAGATGATGGTCTGAGCCCACATCTGTTCCTCTTCTGGACTTTGTGTCCAGATGGCTGCGTCTCCACATTCTTGAGCAAAATCGAGATGAAGTCTATCTGGTTTTCGGTGCGTCCGTCAGTCGAAATCCATATCGTCTTGTGTATATCTTTGTGCTTGCACACACTGCCTCCAATCACCAAATAATTGAAAGCGCAGAAGTCTGCGAAGAGTTCTCCATTATCATTCATTTCACCGAGAACGTGTCGACCCATGATGAATTATCTTCGTGTATTTTCTGCTCCCATTTTGGGTTGCATTCATATCTCCCATGAGGGTCTTGATGTTGCCGTTCAGGATGTTGTCCACTGCTTTTTACAGTTGTCGATGGAAATCGTCCTTCTGCTCTTATTCTGAGTTATTTGTGAGCGAGTGGCATTGCATGATAACTGAAACCTTCCTTCCTTTCTCCCTTCCTTTTGGGTTGTATCATATGTCATAATTCTGGGGGGGTGTGTGGAGATTGGTTCTCACTCCATTAGAGCTTTGGCTGCTGTTGGTGACATCATGATAACCACTAACCACCTCAGTGTGCTCGTGGTTGTCGTCTATGTGACCAGACCGGAGTAGATTACTGACTCTCGAATCGACAACTTGAAGAGTCCACATTCCTCCCATCCGCTCCCACAGATTTCTAGCACTTCCATTCCGTATTTTCTCATAATTTTAGCAATCCAAACAGCCTTCTCAGCTTCGAACATTGCATGAACATTCCACCTCCCTATCCTCATTTTTTCTTTCATCCAGCGAAATCATGTTGGCTGGCCGACCGGCTTCCCGAAGGCTTCCATCAGCCAGTGTCATTTCACCTCTCCGATTCCAGTGAAGAATAAGTTTGTGTTTAATGTTTTTGTTGTTCTTTGAAGTTTCTGTAGCGACTGGAGTGATTTTCTGGTGTGGTGTCGCTATCCCCATGCCCAACCCTCCTGTTTTCCTATGCTTTTGACCGATTAGAAAATCGACCAATTAGCGAACTATGCGATGTTATGCTTGACTTGCTTATATTGGCTTTCTTCTTCGTTTTCTAGATTGCGCATCCCTTGATTCAATCGTGTCTGCTGCATTGTATTCACACTATCTTCTTTGTTTCTGTGATTGGTCGCGCTCTTACACAAGTAAGTTTTTGTCTGTTTTTAATTTTCTTTATAATTGCAGATCTCTTCTCAATTTTGACACCACTAGCGTAATTATGTCTTGGGAGAAAATCGCCTGCTGAATTTTCGTGTTAAATTAAAATGTAATGTAGACATTTGACTAATTGATAGACTGTTGATAGAATGACTTCTAATTCAGCTACCGAAACAGACACAGAAATCATTCAGTTCTTTCTTGGTTAACAACTACTAGTTTTATTCTATAAGTGGAAGCTCAACTACCAACACTCCGACGAAACCAGAAATTCTGAAGGCCATAAAAATGCTACGAACTGGAAAAGCAGCAGGACAAGATGGAATCCCAGCAGAAGCATTGAAAATGGACCCAGAGACAACAACGGACTTGATGACACCATCACTGGAGAAGCTGTGGAGAGAGGGCGAGGTGCCGGCGGATTGCAAGAAAGGCTACCTATTCAAACTGACGAAGAAATGAGACTCAAGTCAATGCAAAAACTGGCGCGGAATTATGCTCCTGTCTATTCCAAGCAAAATACTAAGCTCCATCATCCTGGAGATAACCAAACAAGCCCTAGATGAAAAACTTCAACCTGGACAGGCTGAATTCAGGAGAAACAAGTCAGGCATCGGTCAAGTCGCCGCTCTACGAATCATCATTGAACAAAGCTTGGAATGGCAGTCATCTCTCTATCTCAACTTCATTGACTTTGAAAAGGCCTTCGACAGCGTCGATTTGGAAACTACTTCGCTACTACGGGGTACCACCAACAATTATACATCTCATCCAACAGCTGTACGACAATGCTGCATGCCAAGTAATCCACAATGGGAAACTTACAGATGCCTTCGAAGTGAGGACGGGAGTGAGGCAAGGATGTTACTATCGCCAATGATCTTCCTGATTGGAGTAGATTGGATAATGAGACAGACAACGGGCAATGAGGAAACAGGCATAAAATGGACTGACACAAAAGACTTGGAGGATCTGGACTTCGCTGATGATATATGTCTGATTTCCCACAAACTGGAAGATATGCGAGTGAAGAGCAACAAGTTGGTAGAAGAATCACCAAAGATAGGACTTCATGTGGACATAGATAAAACAGAGGTGATGAAGATTCCTGGCCAACACCAACAGCAACAACAACAACAGAAAACAATCAGCATAAATGGGAGGAACCTGAAAGAAACAACCTACTCTACCTACCTGGGAAGCATCGTTTCAACTACAGGCGGAACTGATGAGGATTTCAAGGCGTGGATCAGGAAAACAAGGCAAGCTTTCTTACTCTCAAATCTGTGTGGACAATCAGCCAACCAACCCAGCAGAAACCAATTGTGCAACAAATATGCGGGAAGGAATGGGGGTGGATTGACCATACTCTGAGAAAACAAACCATCAAGTGACATCACACGATGGGCCACCGCTCGATTGGAACCTGAATAGGAAGCGGCGAGTTGGTTGTCAGTGCGAGGGTGACTTGGAGGAGGTCATGTGAAGAGGAGATGGAAGAATGTGGGCAGACGTGGAGCCAGGTTAAAAACGTTGGCGGACAATCGAACGCAATGGAGACGTTCGGCTGAAGCCCTATGTTCGTCTAGGAACTACAGGAGAGAATAATAAGTAATAATATTCTCTAAGTGCTGCTGCTTATTCTAATCTTCAAAAATGCTATTCTCAAATACTGATCCATGGATATAAAGATGATATTGTTTGTTAAGTACGATGTAACTGATATCAAGTTGTCTTGTGTCTGGTGTTGACCAGATTTTATTGACCAATTCACCAAGCTAATGATCTTTTGTGTTCATTTAAGATAGATTAATATAGTCATCAAGAAAGCTTGTGTTTAGGGTTTATTCGTAAAGGCACTTATCACTAAGTTTTATGCTTAACAAGTTTATTAGACAGTTGTTATTTTGTAAAGAGTAATAAATATATTCATTAATGTCTCACATTAAGTCAATCGTACCTCAAATACGTTGATAGTAAGCTTCTGACTTTATCACCTGATAATTAATCCTTAAATAGCTGAGGAACAATTGGTTCCATCAAGGTCAAAGATGCACTTTGCTAATGAGTGCCAGTAAGCAGAAAGCACAATTTACGGTCTACCTGCTGATTATCTGAAATTATCTAATATATAATTCGGCAGACTTGTGGTTTGAACTATTCGACGATCTTTAGAATGTCCGGCTAATGTCTTATACTTAAAAAAAACCAAAAGTTGGAGATTTTAAATAAATCAGTTTAGTTAGTTACAATGCAGTTTTTGCAGCTCCTTAATAAGTGGTTTACAGAAAGATGCACTAACTGGTGTAGTCACTGTAATCAAGCATGCAGACTGTCTGCCACCAGTGTGATACAGTTCCTGCTTGTTTTTTTCAGCTAGCTAACTGATGGAGAACACACTGAAATTAGAAGTTTAGTATGTTCGCATAGAAGAGAAAAAGTGTTTAAAATAAACTGAGAATGCATAAAACAGCGTTAATGATGACCCAACATAGTAGTCCTCTTAAAAAGGATAGAATCAAATTGGTTACTCATGAGTCTAAATATTGAACAAAATTAGCATATGGTAAATTATGACTGGTCTATTTCCAGACTAGATGTCCGATCCATTTGCCACAAATCTTCTGGATCAGATTTTCCTAATGCCATATAATCCACACTTATTCTGTAAGAGCTGATATTATTCTGTGGTCCAAGCTGCAGTAAGTGGGCAGAATTTAATTTCAGACCCAAAGACTGGAACTCAAGTGGTAAAGCCAATCAGTACATTTCCACGGTGAAGTAACTTACATCCTCACAAGTCCTATTGCTTTGCATTCGTATTCTAACTTTTAATTAGTTTTATCTTTTTTGTTTCTAATTTATGTGATTCAGTGAAGTATGATAGTATTTAATATTTTTTTTCCGAGGTTTTTATTATCCGTCCTGCCCGACTTTTTCTACTAAACTTTATAGATCACGAATTCTAGTTAGGCGTATTTGTTCAACAGAGTACTTTAATATAACCTGATAATTTTGGTAATTGCACCCTAAAAATCAATAGTTAGTAGTAACTTTTTGACTAGCTTTTAATTTCAATGTTAACTAAAAAAAAGGTTTTTATGGTAACTTAATTTTTCTAACTTGACACTGTAATTGTACGTTTTTAGTGATCAAGTTAAAAAATGCTGCTCTCTCTATTCATGTACAAAATTCATGGATTGACTGTTAATCATACAAAACAATGAAAAACCAAATAGTGACTCATGACTAAAAATTTACTGACTTATTATAAATCTCTTTTAGTATCTGTAAAATGTATTTCAAAACACGTAACTGGCCGATCAACTGACCGATGTCTTCCTTACATCTCATATCATATTGAACTAGGTAGAATAGCAAATATTTACTAGATGACCTGAGGAGAACATAGAAAAACATAAGGATTTAATGAATACCAGAGATTATAAAGGGTAAATTCATCTGCGCCATTGTGAACGATTTTAAACCATGTCACCAACAGTTGTCAATTATTGTTTCCTAGCATGCCAACATTCCCAAACAGGCATTCTACACCTCCCTTCACGAGGCTATACTTTTGTTAACCATCATAGCATGAAAATATGATATAAATCTAAATAAGCTATTTTGATTGATATCATTTACTGGTGATAAAACGCATGTTCATGCATAGAAGTAGCTGATTTCTTCCTGATTAACACAATCCAGTGTGTAATCAACTAAATGCTTTCCCAGTAAAAACATCAATCAGGCAGTCATTTCATCTTCATACTAGTCACATCAATAATGCCTATCATTTTTTTAGGAAGAAACGATCTTCAGATTTTATGACAGTCGTGTTCATTGTGGCGTTAATGAGTAAGCAACTAATAGGTTACAGTATTCTGGGTTATTTGATTTGTGAAGCTTAATAATAATAATAATAGCTTTATTCCAAACAGTATTTGTAGTACAGGTATGGAATTTTCAGCCTTCATTACAATATATTGCATCTAATTACCTCATGAATTTTATAAGATTTAAAATCAAAAAGCAACGCAAAAAAAGATAAATAAAAAACAGCGTTGTCTTTACATTTTAATGCACCACAGGATATGAAATATAAAATTGGTGTGTGATAGAAGATGAGAACAACAGTGTAATAGTAACGAGGAAAGGAAAACAAAAACTAATGGGACTATTTGTTAGAGTGCCGCAGTAAGTTGATTGGGTCATACCTAACGGATTTCTCACCACATAACAGCTGTCCCAGATATGGTATTGTGGAGTATTAACTTATGTCTTGAAATGAAATCCTTCTTGAATTTCAGCTTTGATGATTTATGCATGTTTTAGCTACTGAATATACTTTTTCTACAGTAATTTAAGCTGTTTTTACGAGTTGATCAGGGACTGATATCAGTTGGTAAAAGTTAGAATTCATGACCTATTGAATCGGGTCCCAGTAGCTGAATCGTATACGAGCTTACCTTGTAACCGGAAGATCCTGCGTTCGAACCCCAGTGGGTTTGTACTGCCGATGATTCCCTAACTAGGATGAAACCACTATTCAGTACTCCCTGGTTTTCAATGGTTCTCTAACTGATATCAATCTGTGATCAACTCGTAAAAACAAAACTAATCCTTACAAAACAACTATAAAAAATTTAAGGTGAAAATTTTAAAATAACAATTTTTATTAGAAGTACTGGTACATTGTGTTATCAGTAACAAAAGTGCTAATGACAAGAATAACGACATTAATCAAAATAATAAATGACGCAAAACTATGATAGAAACTAGTTTTAGGATTTGTATGAAATTCTTAGCTGTCAATTGGTGGATGGTGACTAGCACTGGAATCCAGCTGGATTCAGTCTTTCTTGTAGTAAGACCAATATCAGTAACTGTTTAGTTCGCCCTTCCGTATTTTGTACATTATACACCTTTTAGCAACAGAAATGCATATTATTCATAATAATGTTTAATAGTTTGGTTCATATTATTT